CTTGGATGCAGCTATCACGGTGGACGTAGTCTTTCTGGACTTTAGGAGAGCCTTCGACACTGTCTCTCACCCCATTCTCATTAAAAAATTAGGCGACTGTGGCATTGATGCCTACACAGTCAGATGGGTCGCAAAATGGCTAGAGGGCTGCAGCCAGAGTGGTGGTGGATGGGTCATTTTTGACCTGGAGGGATGTGGGCAGTGGAGTCCCCCAGGGATCGGTCCTCGGGCCCATACTGTTCAACATCCTTATCAGCGACTTGGACAAAGGGGTGAAAAGCACATTGGTCAGGCTGCAGTTGGAGTACTGCATCCAGTTCTGGGCACCGTACTTTAGGAGGGATGTGGACAGCATTGAGAGGGTCCAGAGGAGGGCCACTGACATGGTCAGGGGGCAGCAGAGCAGGCCTTATGAAGAGAGGCTATGAGACCTGAACCTGTTCAGCCTCCACAAGAGAAGGCTGAGAGGGGATCTGGTGGCCGTCTATAAACTTACCAGGGGGGACCTGTGGGGAATGGGAGAGTCCCTGTTCCTCCGGGCACTACCAGGAGTAACTAGGAATAACGGCCACAAGTTTACTGAGAGTAGGTTCAGGCTAGACATCAGGAAGCACTACTTCACAGTCAGGGTAGCTAGGATCTGGAACCAACTTTCAAGGGAAGTAGTGCTCGCTCCTACCCTGGAGGTCTTCAAAAGGAGGCTAGACAGACACCTAGCCAGGGTCATTTGACCCCAGCATTCTTTCCTGCCCATGGCAGAGGGTCAGACTTGATGATCTACTCAGGTCCCTTCTGACCCTACCAACTATGAAACTATGAAACTAATATGTTGTTTTCTGTAGACAAGGCAATTTCTTTGCTTCTGTAGTCACATCAGTGGCAAAACTTCAACTGACTTGTATGAAGTAAACATGTAACCACTGGTATTTATGCACCAAATGCCAACAGATAATCCTATCCTAATTCTAACTCCCCTTTAATAATATTTTAATCTAGCTAGTACTTTTAATCTTCCTTCAACCTTAAAATCATAATTTTTAGTAAACTTTACTAGTTCCTTACTGTTGCAGTGTGTACTGTGTATTCCTTCCAATTTTCACCCAGTTCATCAACTGCACTCTCTCCCTTTATTCAGCTCCCTCTTAAATATGCTTCTTCCAAGCCTCCCAGCACTACTCTGCTAAACAAAATATGAGGTTTTGTGGATTTCTTTAAAAGTCAACAAGAACCTATTTACAATAATGGGCACTTCATCAGGTTCCATGTCTGAATTGTATTATTTGTAGAGCTGAGTAAAAGTTTCTTTCAGCAGTTAGCACATTCACTGAAAAATGCATTTTTGGGGAGACAAAAGGATATGGAACTTTTGCCAATTCAGACTGAAATCAATTAACAGTTTCAACCAAAAAAAAAAGGGGGGGGGGATGTAGGGGAAAGGAACAATTAGGAAAAAGTAAAAAGTCTCATTTTGGTATTTTTGGAATAAACTGGCTTAACTTTTTGTTTCAAAATGAGGTTTTTGTTTCAAATTTGACCTATTTTTTTAAAAAGAGCAATAAAGAGTTAAACATCCAAAAAAAGCAAAGCTTTTCATTTGAGGTTGAATGAAATGCTTCTACTTGATAAAATGGTGTTTGATATTTGATAAATGATGCAATATGGAACAGGGATGAACTTTTTGGGTATCTTAGTTCAGCCACCCGCTCAAAAAATCCATTAGCACAGCTCTACTTATTTGTCTAGTAAGACTGAATTGAGGGAACTAGTCATATGAATAAACTGAGTGAAATATGGTCCTAAAGTAGTACCTTTCATCTTGATTTTCTTCCTTCATCACAAACTCCTAGGTATATGCAGACATTCACTGAACTCAGTCTACGATCACATGACTTATTTAAGATGAGTGACAGTAGACTGGGAGCAGCTTGTGCACATGTTCACCAGTGACAGGAGCCACACCAGGAACCTGGCAGAAATAACCTGGGACATGGAGAGAGGTGGGCAGAATCAGTGGGGCTAGCAGGTCTGGGGGGTGGGAGGCTTTGGCCAGATGGGTGTGGCTGGTGGTTAGTCCACCCAGGGATGAGGAGGGTCAATGAGGGGTGGGAAGAGGGAGAGGGGGCTAAAAATAACCCCATCAGAGGATGGGGGGAAGTGTTTAGGAAGAGCACAGACCCAGGGATGGGTCAAGTAGCTGGACTCTCTTAGCCCCAGGTCTGTGCTCTAAACATATGCAGGTGTTTGATAGATTGGGCTAACCCAGGGTAGGCAACCCCTGGTACTGGTGCCAGAGCATGACACATGAAGGCATTTTGCTTGGCACATTTGCCTCAGAGCAGATAGCGGGGAAGAGGCTAGGGCTCTGCTGCCACAACAAGTATCAAGCCCCACACAGCTCCCCCATTATCCACCCCTGGCATGCCAACATCTTATAAACTGATGTTGAGGGTGTTTTTGGCACTCTTCCCAAAAATGTTGTTGAGAGGCTAACCCATTCCCAATCCAAGTTAGTTCACCTCCTCAAATGAACTTAGACTGGGCCCACCATTTTTTACCTAGCTTAATCTCTCTGACTTTCTGCACAGACTGGCACTTAGATTGACCTAAACCTCATTAGGTCTATATAAATGTAACACCTCCACATAGTCCTAAAAATATATATTTTTTAAAGGTAATAACCTAGAAAGCTTTTTAGAAAGTACAATTTACCATCCTCATTCACATTAAGGTTATTCATTCTTGAATATTATCACATCAAATGCTTATTGGAGATTCAGTTGGTGGCATATAGACCACAAAGCCCATGAACAGATATCTAGTCTCATTTCACATGCAAATAAACTTAAAACTAGGAAAAGAGTTTTCATTCCAAATGGACTAAGGCATTAAGTTATTTTTTTTGTTCTAAATATTTCCTTACTCCAAACCCCAGTCTGAAGCCTCTGTACCATGCAAAAAGAATGCAAGCCCTAAGGTCATGACAATGGCACTGGATGAATGGACCTTTCATTCATCATTTCACAAAGATAGGCATTTTTTTATCTGTAATCACTTTGTCTAGCTCCTAATGATGGGACATCCTGTTCTGATGGGGTGGCAGTGAAGCCCTCTAGCAAAAATATGCAGGTTCCCTACTTATGCAACTATAAGACAAGATTTCTTGTAATCTGGTAAATGAAAGCAGTACTTTTTTTTAGCCTAGGACAGGGGTTGGCAACCTGTGGCCTATAGGCTGAATCCAGTCCACAGATAGACTGGATCTGGCCTGTGGGAGCTCAGGGAACTGGCAGCACATTCCAGGCAAAGCAGCAGAGAAGGCACCTGGGAGGTACAGCAGTGTGGCCCATGGAAGGGACTGGGTTGCAAATAGTGGCCCACAGTGACAAAAGGTTGCCATCCCACAGTCTAAGAAATTAAGGCTAGAAGGCACATTGAGGCTTTTTGTGGATTCCTTTTATTCCTAATTCCTTTGCTCTTATAGCACTTAATGTAGCACTTAATCAAAGCATTTTTCAAAAGTGGTCATAATTTTACAGATGTGGACACTGAGACGCAGGGAAGTGACTTGGCCAAGAACATCCAGTAGGCTAGGGGAAGAGCTGGGAACACAACCCAGGGCTCTTGTGTTCCAGCCCAGTGCTCTACCCACCGCGTGATACTACTCCATATAGACTCATACTGAATTTTCATTATGTAATGTTCATCCTCTTCATATGTGACATCGGCATTTGGACCATGGGGTGCAGGAACTCTAAGTTAGTATAATATTTATGCCAACAAGTCAGGAGACAGGAGCACAGCATGGAAAACAACTTGGCGGTTGTTTAAAACAGACCAGTCATGCCTTCACTCAAGCCTTCTTGTAACATCTTGGTGCAAATGTTTCATCAACCTGAAGGCAAACAAGGTTATTTGGGTAAAACAGATATCTTTTATTAAACCAAATTAAATAATTGGAAAAAGAATTTCTTAACAAGTTTTTGAGTTTAAAAACCTTTTGTCAGGCTCAGGAAGCATCTGCAGTTGGTGTGTGCTCTTCCTGGATGGACTGAATAGTAAAGAAACCAGAGGCTGGGCTGGGCTGCATGCAAAATAGGCAGTCAGTGAAGATGTAAACTGAGGAGTCAGTGGGTGAGCGACAGGGTGGGGGGGGAAGGGAGGGGAGAGGCGGGGCAGAGAAGAGGGATGAATATAGCAGGTAAATAGTGGAGAGATACCTGGGGAGTCAGATGTCAGGCAAGTTATAATGCGTCATAAATCCAATGTCACAAATCCATTTAAACCATGATTTTATGTCCTTACACCAACATGTCTACAACCTACATCCCTCATCAACCTGAAGTTTCTAACACTCCTTTTCCACTTGGTAATGGGCTTGAGAGTAAAATAACAAGGCATTAATCCAAAGCCCACTTGTAGCCAATAAAAATGTTCCCATTCATTTCAGTGACTTTGGATGAAGGCTTCTGGCAGTGTGATTATATAGAAGTCTATTAGTCAGAGTAACTCCAGCCTCCTTAAACAATACCTCACAACAAATGTTTTACCACCAAACTGTACAGTCTCAGTATACCTTAGCCATTAGTTACTGTAATATTGGTCCTGTTATACAGTACATAATATACAAACTGAAGATGCAATAATTTGATCACAGCATTTGTGACACCTACTTTCCTAACCAGCCAAAACCAAAAAATCTCAAGGTCATTCTCAATGTCTTTTCTCCTTTTTGGCAGCACCAGCTGTTGCTACAGCAGTCCCAGACTGGCTCCGATTTTTCATTTTGTTTTTCACATTAAATTGCATAATAAATTATACTATTCAAATTTTACTTTTTGGTCAGTAACATTTTAAACTGGTACTTTATATGGGTGGGAAATTTACCATTTGTGCACGTGTGTGCACTTTTCAGGGTGTTTTACAGAATAGGAGGGCTGCATTCAAGGAAGAAATAAAATGGTTAATTCACCAAAAAATGGTTACATTTACCAAACACTTACCTCTCCCCAAATTCCGACTGTGTCTCTGATGTCATTTTTACAATAAGAGAGTTGTCTGATGCAATTGTTGACAGCAACACTACTTTTTCCAGGAGCAAGATCTTCTTCTGCCATCTCTACCCAGCCCAAAGAGCGCACAGCAAAACACTAAGACAAAAAAGAAAAGAAAAATATATATAAAAGTTTATGCATGTAAATCAAAATGCCATACACATCAGCAAAGCTGCATGAGAGACTAAAGAAATGTTATGCCATATTTTTCTCTTTGTTAGATGAATGTTTAAACTACCCCTGACTTTGAATGAGGTAGGATCATGAACTTCTATTGCTCAAAGTATCACCTTATGAGGTGATGTGCCTAGGAAATAGGTAAATTAAAATATACAGTTTGAGAATGTAAGATGATTTTTTTTCCAGAAACAATGAGTGAAATTGAATGAGATATCAGGAAAGGATACCCTTCTTATATCTCTATAGCTGCAAACTTCAATAAAATACAAGGTTAAATGAGAGAGACGTAAAGAACATACTGATATTCAGTGCTATACTCCTGTACCAGAAAAAGCAATGATAGCTATACATTAGGATGGCAGTCCTCGCTACTGTCTTAGCTTTAGTTTCCTAAAAATCCTATTGATTATGGCATGCTGTGAAATGCACACACACAATATATCTGCCTGGCTAGCTTTAACCAGAAATATTAATTTATTACAGACTGCAACTATTGGCTTAATGGTCTAAGCAAGGCAGCAAACAATGGTAAATTTAAAACATCAACTAAGGGATAATACATTGTATAAAGAAAGAGGTTTTTGTAGAAGAAATTAGAATGACCTTTTTAAAAAACAAACCAATTACAAAAATTATAAAGCAGACGGATGTTTAGCCAACCAGAGCACTCTGTTGGCAGAACTTACCAAGGCTACATTATTCTCCACATATGGTGCTTTTTGTAAGCAAAACAAAAAAGGGAAGAACTGCCTGGAAATGTCTAGATTATAGTCATTGTTGCAGATTTATAAAAAGTACATTTTAACTTGGAAAAGGAACCTCAGTGAATACAGAGGAGGAAACCAACCGTCTCCAATGGGGACAGGATTTTACCTAGACCGTATGTTCTCAAATGGTATTTATTACTTGTGTTCTAATAGACACCACAAATTTTCCTAAGTCTCCTGAAAATTTCACAAGTAGTGGCAAAACTCCCAAGATTCTCTATATGATACCATGCACATTATTTTTAAGCATCTAGCATAGAGAAATAGAATGGTATATATGGATAAGTCAGATACAAGGTATGTTACCTTTGAGAATTTAATGGGACTCATCAGATTCTACTTTATCATCCCATCTCCCTTCAGAGAATTAAAAAAAAAATTTAGGCTTCCTACTTGAATATTAAGGATGAAGTAATTCTCTTTCATAAGGAATTAGGCAGTATTCAAGTGTTGGCCTGATTTCTATCAACACTTACAGTTTTTTCTAGAGAGGCACAAGCTTCAGCAGATACACAGTCCGCAAGAACAGCAGAAAAATTTAGAATTAATAATTGAAAGTTTGCCTATATATAACATCACTTTTCTTTTACAGTAAATATTTCCTCTCAAAAATAGATCAAAGAGTAAACTGGAACAGGCCCTGTGCAATCCATTTTCTATATAACTTGGCAGGTGTTCAAAAGAAAGGAAATGTTAAAACAGAACACCCATGCATTGACTTCAGCCTTCCTGTAACCTCCAGATGCAAAGGTTACACCACCAAGGTTGTGTGTTAGGGCTGTGCAAAGCGTTGGTAGCTGATTCAATCTGGAAGAGATTTGGCCCGATTTGGGGACCAAATCTCTGAATCCTAATCAAATCGGGAGACCAAGTAAAAGCTCCAAATAGATTCAAAGCATTCCAAATCTGCCTTTCGAAAAGCTTCGGAAAAGATTCAGCCAATTCGGAGATTTGGCCATAACCTAAACAGGCAGTTGACAGCTGCCTCCAGCTGGTAAGTCAATTGGGTGAGAGGGGAGGGAGCAAATGGGGCTGGGACAAGCTGCCCAGCTCAGGCGGGGGG